ATGTAGTACGGTGTAAAAGAAATTTGCTTCGCGTTATTGCACGCTGTCACGCTACGTTTACTACCGTCAAATATGAATACTTTTTTCTCCATCGAGATTGAGATGTGTATCAAGAATGAAGTTATTTTTATTTCTATGAGAAAATCAACATTTGAAATAACGCTCAATCTAAATGGACTTTTGGCGGTTGAAGTGTCGATGGACTGTCAATATTTTGCATGAAATAATTCTTCTGAATTCTTTCATACGGGGTGTGAATAATTGTTTTTATTATTATAAGAGTAATGTGAAAATTACACGCAATAGAAAAAGATTAATCGTAGTACTTATATATGGAAATAACTGTAGCAGTTTTATGAAAAAATATGATAAACTACTTGATTTACAGCTAATATTTGTTAATATCAACTTCATTACTTTCCACAACGCTTCAACTAATATAAAAAAATCACTCGAACATCTAATGACTTCAAGCTTTCTGAACTAAAAAGAAATTTTAAATTAAAATGAAATTCTAAATTTCTGATCTGAATTCACATCACGAAGATGAAAATATACTTCCTAGTTTGAATGTTTCGACCACAACCTGTTATGGTTTGGCTCAATTAAATTAAAGTTTTTAATTTTATTTTAACGAGTCTTATATTCCTTCGTCTTTTAAACCGAACGATAATGGTTAAAGATAATATTATCTGATGATAATATTATCTACATAACGTATTCATGGGAGAAGGAAAAATCGTAATTCGCTGTGTCAGACAGTGAATTTCCCATTTTGAATAGAATTTTGTTCGCAGCACTTACTTGTCATTCTCACACGTTTCTTTTCAGGATCGGTTGCCGGCGCGCTAGCCTCGGGTGAGGGTGCGTTTCACGAAGTGCCCGCATACCGTACGACGCGTACGGTTCTCGATTTCTTTGAATTTTTTTTTTTCTCTCGTGGCTAGACCGAAAATCCACCCTCGTTGTTGGGGGAGAGCGTGCACGTAATACGCCGGGACGCGTATAATACAACGAAACGACGCGACGACGCCGCGAGAGACAAGCGTGGAAAGAGGCTATACACACCCGCATGCGACCCCGTACAAACCGTAACCTTACACGAACGTCGCGCCAAGTGTGTACTGTGTATCGATCCCGAGAGTACACACGAAGACGGCTCTGAGCGCCACCACGTTCTCTCTCTGTCTCTCGTGGGAGAGGCGCTGTCTCTTGTTGTTGCTTTCGTTAGAACGCCGACGGTTACTTAGATTCGGTACGTATTTCGAGCACGAGCAAAGGAGTCATTGAAATCCGACCGCGGACACATTTTCGTCGCCGGGCAATGTCGGCTAACAACGGGAGAACGGCAGAACGTGATTAAAGATTTTTCCCGCAACCGATTCGCCGGCTTCGTTACGCCGGTTGTGCTTGTCGAATAAACTCGAAGCGTGTGCATCGTTGTTACGTACTTGGCTAGCTACTGATTGTGAGTGAAAATGTTCTCTTACCTTAATTTTCAGTGAATAATCTGAACACTAACACAAAACGATACAACACACACTCCACACCCGACGAAGGTCCGAGCTCGACTGAAAGCGTTCGCGGAGTGGGGTGGCGCCACGGCCAATCCCACGTACTAGCACGCAATTCCATCTTCCTCGTAAGATGTATATAGTGTTTGCTCCGATGAATTGTTCCGCTCGATGTAAATATCGGCAAGAGATTTCTGTCGCTTTGTACACACTCGTCGATTAAATACCTCGATGACATCGTCCACTGTCACTAATCATAGTCAAATCTCCAATTGTGCTCTGACGTGTCGAATAAGAGAAACTTTGTGATATTCCGCTAAGTTGAGACGATTTATTCGAGCAGACCGTGCAACATCAGAACCACTCGAGTCTCTTTGCTCTACTATGCAACGAATATGTTATGAATTTCAATGCATTGTGAACAACGATACGTTTTATGGTTCATACTTGTGGATTTGTCGTATTCCTTTTGTTTCCGCTATTATATTAACAATAAACGTGTTGATATGAATATACTATTGTATGCAATAAACGAGGGCATTACACTATATATATGTTATAACTTAAATATTCCTATATCAATCCTTTGATGTCAATACAAATCGGGTTTTGAAATATTAAAAATATCAATTACATTCTCGATCATTAGAAAATAAAACCTCCATTATCTATATTGACGACAATGTAATTTAAAGTTAATGCTGATAGCACTAAATGATTGTTTTGAGAAATGTTTTTAAATAGGTTAGATTAGATTCTATTATCCAATAATGAAATAGTAGATATAACGATGTAAATAACTGTAATTTGAAAAAATATCGCAATTAGTAATTGATAGATCGAATGTAGTGAGCAAATGGAACACAATTTAAAGATATGAGATAGGTATAAAATAAGATTTTCACGTGACTTTCTTGCAATATTATATTCATCAAATAATTAAAAATAGAATAAAAACAAAATTTGATGATTTTGTTATACGATTGTCTTAAATTATTTTAAATATTACTAATAATGATTACCTACCAGTTCATAAATGAAAACGTCAAAATTGTTTACAAAATAGAAGTTTGTATTTGATAAAAAAAGAGATATTTGATTTATACTTGATAATATTAAATAACATAGATTAAAATATTAAAAATTGTAATGAATGTATGAAAATTTTCTTCATAGACAGAACGAAAGTGATATGCAACTTTTGCTTAGCACTTATGCGAATATCAATGTAAATCCCAGTAATAGTAATCAAATGGCGCGAAACGATGGAATTTTGATACGGAAGAATAAATTCTATGAATTCCTTACATGTTTTACATACAAATTGTATCTGTATTTCCTTATTTCATATTAATAGTATACTTATGATTAAAAATAAGTAATTTTGTAACAAAATATCTAAGATTCATTCTCATAAGAAAATAAAGAGCATTTTTATTTAAATATCAAGGGGTCGATATATTTCTAAAACAAACACATGTTTTATAATCGAATTTTAATGTAAATAATAGTCAAATACATAATCGTTTTTTTTTTTTCTTTAAATTACTATATTCCAAATACTTTACGTATGAATATTACTTTTTATTGACAAATCTCTGTATATTACGATTTATTTTATCCCTAATTATTTATAAACTTTTTACATTAGACTTGAATAATAATAATATTATACAATGTTTCGTTCCGAATTCAAATTTCCTTTCTCATCTATTCGATCTACATTCTATGATCCATGAATTGGTGATTAAAATAAAAATCGGATGAACCTGATATTCGTCCGTTTATAAGTTTCATTATTACAACAAATTATCGTGTATTTCGCAGGCTATAATAAAATATATATTAGACTAGTGTACAATTGGTCGATACCTTCTTTCAATTTTTTTTTTCTTTTTTTTTTTCAATTGATACGAGAGACTGTTCCACGCGTGCTCTTGGAAAATTATAAAAAGCGTGGCAATTAATGTCTACTTTTAAACATAACAAGCTTCAACAATAATTACTTCAAA